AAAATGTCATAAAATACATAGAGCATTGACATACGATTCGATTCTGTGTCTCGCAGTCGAGTGCGAGCCAAATACTGAATATTGCGCTCATCCGAAAGTGCTGATTGAGGCTATGGACACTCCATAGTCACGGACCCAGATTGAAATAGGTTCCTGAAGACCAATAGCACATTTAATTAATGCTTGGAAATAGGAATATCCAGTATCAATTCAATCAAATGTCAATAGATTGCAGATCTTTGAGCACAGCCTCTAAAATCGTTTGCAAAATTGTATTAAAATGTTTACCTATTCCTAGTTTTCGATTTCTCAGCTTAGACCTATAGGAAATTCTATATATTTTCCATATGAAAAATTTACTAGTGCATTTTCCAAGTCCTTCATTTGTAGGGCTATCTTTTATGCCGATGGCTGAATTGTTGAGAATATTATTTATTTATTTATTTATGAATGTGGGGAACGTTTTCCCTGTCCAAAGGCTTGCCTTAACAATAGCAATTCGATTTACAGTTCATTACTTTTCATAATTTGTGCCTCTCCCTCTCCCTCCCTCTCTCTCTCTTTCGCTTCGTCAAGGACTTGTGTGTAGGTGGATCCACCCTCCCACGGCAGCTGTTCAAAAATCCCACGCAGCAACAACCGAAAACCGAAAACCGAAGGGTCTGAGGGTGGATTCAAAAGTTTCGGCGCCCAGCCCAAAATCTAATTGGACGGGCTTGACATTTTTGCCCTCTCAAAAAGAAGAATATTCTATTTAAATTGTTGGAATCCGCTTACGTTAAAGGACTCGAAAGGATCTGCGCCATTTTGTGTGCGTGTGTTTTGTAGTTGGTCTCGAATTTCTTCCTTTATTTCAAAATCGAATTGTTTGCATCGATTTAAGTCGTGCTCTAAGCCCCAAAGCTACTTAGAGGAGCTGCACGATGGGGTTTTCCACCAAAGATTTCATAGGAAAATATATCCTAAAGGACCTCCGCTAGAAACCTTCTATAAATGTGAAATGAGCTTGGAGCAAATTTGCCCTCGAATGAGAATTTATATGTATTCCTTTTTTCTATATTCTGTATCCCCTGTGCCCATTGCCCCCACCCACCAGTCCAAGGAGGAGAGAAAAATCGATAATATGCAAATATATTTTTGCATCCCTAACAGACACACACACGCACACATGAGAGCGTAAAACTAACATAAACGCGGACGAGGTCCTTAGGTCCTTCTTTCGGGGGTTTCCTTCCCCCCCTCCTCCCTTCCTGTGCACGCACACATACACACACACTCCGCATACATATAAACTAAATAACTAAATACGCATTAGCATCCTGTCGGATTTTCCTTTATTATTGCGGCCAAGATGCTTGGGTGGGAGGGGTGGCGAGGGGAAAGGCAAGGGATGGGCAGCCGGCGACCGCACGGTGCACGCGCTTCGCTTGGGGCACAGTGGTGCCGAATCGATGGAGTGGACTCCGGACTTTCCTAAGCGTCTTTGCTTCGATTGGGGAAGCTGTAAGCAGAGATAGAGGGGTTCATAAGGCCTCTAGGCACATCTTCAAAGCCTGAATCGATCCATAGTTAGGTTTTTCGATGCCCCTTACTTCTGAAGGCAAGCACAGATCTAAAATGGAGAAAATAGGAAGTTCAGAGACGATCTTGGCACAGCAATTCCCTTTTCAGTAGATGCCCCTTTTCAGAGCTATTCCAATGCTATTTTTGAAAGGGAAATATTTGCATAATTTTATCATAAATGAACAAATTATCTCGAAGATTGATTGGACTTTCAATTTTTGATTTAAAATTAATATTAGCAACATTTTCTTAACCGCCTGTACTCTAGAGGACTTTAATTCGCTTTAAAATGTCCCATAAGCGAATGGATACACTTGTTTCGAACCACACGAAGAGAGATAATTGGCGTTTAGCGATGGTTGGAATTCGGCTAGGCTCAAGAAGGAGGGGTTTTGGATTGAAGACCGAAAATATTGTAGAAGAAAATTGTATTTTTTCTGATTTCTCTTTAATCGAAAGTAAAATTTACAAGCATTTTTGAAGGTGAAATGTAAGACCATTCATTAGCCGATTGAGCGAATGAAACTGTGGGTTCTTCTACCTTTATGGCCATCGCAGAACCACTGTTCGGACCCCACAAAAATTCCAACAGACTTCGGGCCGTTCCGAATGGCAACAAATTCGAAAGAACGTGTATGCAGAGTGTGACTGAAAGCATTATTAATAGAGAATGTCGGCAGCTAAACTCACACTAGCACAGCACACACGGACACGGACACACACACATGCACGCAAAGAGGATATAAAAGCAATAAGAACATTCATCTTCATAATTACAGGCCACGAAATGGGGGAAAGCGAAGGGAAAGCCGAGGGAAATTCAAATGAAACGGGAAAGTTTTGCATATGCGGCGTGGAGAAAGTGTGTGGGTGTGTGAGAGAGTGTGTGGGTGTACGAGTGGGGGGTGGGGAGGCCTCCTCTTCGTAGTTGTCGTCGTCGTCGTGGTCTGCCCTTAAGCATGGTCAATGGGGTTTTATGGAAATGACAGTTAAGCTCAGGACGTTGTCCACCCTAATGAATGCTCAAGGAAGCAGTTGCTCTCCCTCTCTCTCTCTCTCTCTCTCTCTCTCTGGCGTCTCTGTGGGAAATGCAATCAAATGGAAATTGTTAAAGAAAATGCCCACAAGGAAAAGGGAAAAGGCATCCATCCGCTTGACTGACTGCCAGGGCTGCATTAGGCTCCCGCGTCCTGGTCCTTTAACGAGGGTTGCAATGCACTAATTACGCAGAAACCATGTCCGGCAAAACCTTTCAAGATTCCACAATTTGTGCGCAGCGGATGGGCGTGGGGGGTGGTGGGGGGTGGCAGGACCTTGCGGCGTCGTCTGTTTGGCAGTTGTCGCTTGGGTCCTTGTTTTTTCCACACCGAGTTGCAATTTAAATGAGATGTTTCCCTGCGAGATGCGAAATGCGAAACGCGAGAGGGTGTTGCCTGCAATCGCTCCCCAGTAAAAAGGCGACTGCTGTTTGTGGGGGGGTCAAAGGAATTAATTCTAATCCAGAACACGTTCCAGCGCAGACGGACGGGACTGGTCGCCGGTGCGTCGGAGGGGGGGCGGGGGGTGTGGTGTGGTGTGATGTCCTGTTTTTGGTGGAGGGTTCAGAGATCCGGGGATCATTAGCGTGATTTCTTTTCGCTTTGACATCGGAATCGATGAGAGAACAAACGGGGAAATTTTCTGTGATTTCCATGGCGCAAATTGTTTTTTTTTCGTATTTATCTTTGTTTTAAGAATGGAAATTTGATTTTATTTTTAAATGCTTTTTTATGTGGCATTATTTTCATGGCTTGGTTTTTTTTTTAGTTTGTTCATTTTTTGTTTACACCGAATATCGTCTAAAAATCAGAAAAACCTAAAACTCGGCCCCAAAGAATCCTTTGATTTCTCAATCCTTGTGCACGTACCATATTTTTCCCCATCATTTGCTCAGTCTGTGTTCGTCGTTCGTTCCGGTAGTACAAAATTCGAAAAAATTGTTTTGTTTTCAAAAAATTATTAGGCCAAGTTTTCAAAATTTTAAATTTTTTCAAAAGCAAAAATGACCGCAGGAACCCTGAAGTTGAGCTTTTTCAGTGGGATTCAGCAATCTTGTGGATGCCCAGCTAGGCGTCCGATATTACCACGAGTTCGTGGTAAAATCCAACCGCTTGAATCCTGAGCGATCGATCAGGCCTGAAAACGTTCCAACGGACTGGCGGAGCCCCAAAGACTCGCGGAAAAGCTACGATACATCATAAGTGATTCACCAGGCTGTAGGCCATGGAGGACAAGACGGTGGACGACATCGACATGGGTTCACATCCTGAGGCGGGATGGATGTTCACTGGAGCTCAAGCCGTTTCGGTGGTGGAGACTGGGGGGACCCCGAGTCTGTCTGCCGCTGCCGCTGCTGCTCCTCCTCCACCATGCAGATCTGCAAACGGCACGACGTGACAGACGAAGAAGCTGCACCTGCAACCAGGTTCCAGCTGAAAGCGGGGCAGAAGAACGGGGGAACTTCTAAACTCCCACGAGTACCGACAAGCTGTTTGGTTCGAACTTTGACTCGGAGCCTGTCAGTGAAGCCGAGTTTATGTTTACGTTTTTTGTTTTTGCTTAAATAAAGTCATTTAATTGGTGAAGTGGTGCCCATGGGTGAATGGAAAAGTGGCGGGAAATTTGATTTACCAAACGCCACCTTTTGACCAATCGACGTACTCGCGCAGCGCCATCTCCTACAATTCAGCTTTTGTCAGAGTGCTGCTCGATATGACAGACATTTATCGAATGATATGTGACAAAAGCTTGGTGCTTTTCGAATAAGCGTAGTTCGAGAATTTCCCGCCAACTAAATGGCTTTCAAAAAATATTTATCGAAATGTTTCCGGGAAAGTTGCCAACAACAGCAAAACAGTTTGTGGTGGATTTAACTGCATGTTATGTCAATGTACGGTTAAATTGAAAATAATAATTTTTTCATCAATCTTCCCCATCTGGAATGGGATTTTGAAAAATCTCACCCACGGTTCTCTCCTAGTACTCGATTTAGTACTTTTTTTTATCGAAAGCCCTTTCTATGCCTACTCCGTGCCACCATCGGTCTCTTTCGCGGCAGCAGCGGGGGCTTGTTGCCCGGCTCTGCGCCAAAACAAACATTGCGCTCTTGGTGCTTATGGCGGGAAAATTTCATAAAATATCATTTGGACCATCGCTGTGTTGCCATCGATATATGTATCGATATAGCACCATCGGTAAATGTATAATGTATAATTCCTTTTTGTTGGTATTACTGATAGTATTTTTTAAAAAAAGTATGGTATTTTCCAATATTTCAGCCTACGGTCAGTTTAGGCAAAAAAGTGTTGCAAATGGCCCGCAGATGGCTGTAAAAATTTCAAGGTGAAAAAAATTTATTGATAAATAGCAACAAGAATACCGCAAAGGCCGACGGGAAAACGGCAAAATAACTCCGATCGGAACTGCACTAAAAGGTTTAAACATAGTTGACCAAATGATGAAATAAAAGTGGCTTCTGTGGCTACAACGTATAGAAGAAAAAACTGTGTACATATGTGCGTTGACGTGAGTGTGTGAGTGTGACGTGTGCGCTAAGAGTGTGTTGGTGTGCGATGGTGTGCTCTTGCTGGCCGTGTGTGTGCGTGTTTAAATGAATAAGAAAACGGAGAACAAAAAGCACGGACGGGGAATTTATATACGGCTGAGAAATTAATTCATTTTGCAAAACGAAAAAAACCTAAACAGAGCTAAAGTAATTGTGACAGAAGAAAGAGGCGAAAAAAATTGAGGAATGGAATTAATTGATTGCCGGAATTGCAGGAGTGAGCGAAAGAGAGAGAGAGAGAGAGAGAGACTTCCACTCCTCTTTTCCAAGTGTGAGTGTGTAGTGTGTGTGTGCGAGCCGCTAGAAAATCTGAAGCAGTAGAAAAAAACGTTGTGCAAAATTTTGTTGAATTTGTTGTTTTTAGTGCTTTCCCCGTCCCCTACCCCCCGCACCACCGTTAACCCTATAAGTTTCTCAGCTTTTTTTTGCAATATTTTTTGCACGCTTTTTCGTTTATTTAACGCGCTCTCGCTCTGTCTTTTTGCCCTCTCTCGCAGTACTCTCTCTCTGGCTGCGCTCTCTCAATTTGTTGCCAGAGCCAACTGTCAAAACTGTCATTTACCTTCTTTTTGTCCAATGTGCAAAACGCAACCGAAAAGAAAAATATACAACACATTTCTGTGCAAAATTCAATTTGTTATAAACTATTAAGCAAAGCGGAAGTCACAGTTAAGCGCAGTGTGTGCCCATTTGTGTGAGTTTCAAAGAAAACATGTAAAAGGCAGTAAAGAGTGCCAGATAAAGAGAGGAGAGGAGAGCCGCCACTGTCACTGCCGCTGCCGCACAGTGCCACAAATCGACCTGAAAAGAAAACCAACCCCCCCGCCCCCAAGGGAAAACCGCATGAAAATTATACAAAACAAAAATTAGCTAAAAAGTGTTGCAAAAAATAGTTTTACCAAATAATAAACGTTTAAAGTGTGTTCCACTCTTATTCGAAGAGAGCGAGCGAGAGAGAGAGGGAGACCCTGCAGTGCGTGCTAGTGTGTGTGTGTGTGTGTGTGTGCGTTTGTGTCTCTGCCCATCCTTTGCTGGACTTCATCCTCCGCGTCTTCTCTCTGCTCTGCAAATTCGTTCACTTTCGCTTTGTTGTTGTTGTTGTTGTTGTTGTTGCCTGCTGCGATTGCACTTTGTACCGTTATTTCAGCCTTTGCTATAGATTTTCCTTCCATTCCATTCTGATTTACAGCAGCAGAAAACCAAAGCAAGCAAAGCACAAGAAGCAGAGAGAACAACAAAAAGCAATAAAAAACAACAACAAAAGAAAAGAAGAAAAAAACAAAACAAGTAAAGAAAAGAAAAGAAGGCTTTTGATAACCTTACAGATCGATGGTTGGTGTTCGTTCCCCCCCCCATTGGTATCTATATATTATAGAATCAATCGATTTTGATAAGAAACCACTTGGAAATACTGTTGGATAATCTTCAGAGCATGCCATGGAAGCTGTAAGATATGATTTGTAGTACCCTCTGCCAAAGACAGAGAGAGAGGGGGGAGGGGGCACAAACAGCTGTCACAGCATTTGATAAACTTTACTTTTTGTTGCGATTCCCTTCCTTTTTTGTTTATAACGTCAGCTGTTCTTCGTGTTGATATTCACCATTTTTGTTTGACGGAATGTTTAGTCAACTGATTGTTTCTTTTTCTTTTGTTTTGTATCGAAATTTGCATATATGCTACATTTTTTACATAGTTAGAGGAATACAAAGACCATCTGCGGATAGGAACTTTTTCTGATAGTTATTTTAATGGAAATCTAAATTTTCGATAGGGAATTCTTTGGGAAATTAATTTAGAAGGATTAAAGAGGAGTACTTTTAGTTTTTTAGTCTTCTAAAATTCCGTTTTCCTACGATTTTTGTTGGGATCAATTCTCGTTTAGGAATACATGATCTTTGGTATATTTTAAGCATCTGCTGAAGCTAAAAAAAAGCTCCAAAGGAGGTTCTACCTTAGCATGTGCTACTTTTTATAGAAATACCTTCCAGAGAATTCCTTCAGAGAGAGAGAGATTCCTTCCTAATGCTAGAACCTGTTCTTCCACTCCACTTAGTCCAGCGTTCGAGACAAAACCCTTTGAAATGCCCTTGAGCTCCAGGCTGCCATCCCTCCCAAAAAACCCTTCTCGAATGTCAGAGCAGAGAAGAGATCTTTTTTCATCGGTTCTGTCCTTGGGTCAAAATATTGCAAATATTTTTGCTGGGCGCAGTAAAATTTGATTAAAGATAGTGTTTATATTTCGGAGTTCTCTTCTCAAGAAGTTATTTGATTTTGATTTTTGGTTTGTTTGGGGCTGTAGAGAGCGAAAGTGTGTGTGCGTGCAGGCAGTCACGTCTGCCCTTAGTCTTCCCCGCACCCTTGAGCCCTCGATGTGAAGTAATTTAGGTTGGAGATATCAATATCTATTTATTATTGTTATGTTTGAGGGAATACGAGTGGGAAATGTGTTTATTGTTTATTTGAATAGTTATAAAATTAAAAACTGATATTTGAGTGGGAAATAAAAGATAGAAAAGTAAAAGAGATCGAATAAATTGGCAGAAAGTGGATAGAAAAAGTAAATAAATATTCCTGCAGATAAAAGTCATTCAAAATAAATAAATAATGGAGATATCTTGAGTCTGCTTTTGGCAGATTTCCATCAAAGAATTACCAAATATGGAGCTTGGAACCCCCTATAGAGACCCTGTCCCTATATTAATTTGTATCTCGCTTTTCTGTGAGTGTTTTCTTTGGGGGGGTTTTTGTGTGTCACACATTTTGCGATTCAATTGAATTGAAAAAGTTTTATTTGATTTGGAAATTGTATCTCATGGATGCACTGTCATTGTAATCTCTTGCTCTTGCTCTTGCCTCTCTTCTCGTTTGATAAACATTTTCATTGCTTGCTCTCTCTCTCTCTCCATCTCTCTCTGCTGTCTACTTCTTTCGCTTCTTCTACTTCCTCTTACAACGCCTTTTTTTTGCAGTGTGATTCATTTCCTTGCCCAAGAGGGGGCCCAAGAGGGGGGCGGGAGGTTACAGGGTATTGGGTGGGCTTTTTCTTTGCGTTGTTTTTTCCTTCTTTGAGCTTAATTAAATTGTTTTTGTCGGGGTTTTTTCTTCTCCTTCTCTCTCTGTACCATTTTGACCTTTTCCCTTTTGCTTTTTATCTTCTTTGGCTGCTGCCTCTGCCGCTGTCGCTGCCGCTGCCTCTGCTGCTGCGCTGCTATCATCATCAATATTGATTACCGGCAGCTGTCTTCTTCCTCTGCGAGAGAGAGAGAAGAGAGTGAGAGAGAGCCGCTCCGGTCCGCTCCGCTTCGGGTTCCCTATGCGCTCGCTCCCTTGCAAAAATTTTGTTGTTTTTCTTTTTCGTATGCTGGCAGCCCCCTCCCCTACCCGCCCACTTGTAGGCGACCCCCCACTCCACGAAAGGGAGAGCAGGAGAGGCCAACAGGCTGCCTCTCGCTTGGGTCTTGCTCTCTCTCGGCGCGAGAGAGGGAGCACAATTATTGCAATTTGTTTAACGCGCATTCGCTTGCTCTCTCCCTCGCTCTCTGTCGCTGTTGCTGTCTCCCTCTGGCAGTGTTTGTTGTTGTTGGCGCTTCATCGATTTTATGCTTTTGTCGTTGCAATTAGTTCTCTTTTCTCGTTCTGTTGCTCGTTTTCTTGTCTGCACTTTTGCTTCTCATTTTTCTTCTTTCTTCTTCTGACTGCTATTGAGGCAGGGCAGCGGCAGAGCGGCAGCGGCAGCAGAATTTCTCCATCTCCTGACACCTCCTATTCTTACCTTTTGCTGAGGTGTGTTTCAGTGTGTGTGTGTGTGTGTGTGTGTGGACAATCTGGTAACAAATACAACTATACTGTGATTATTGGTAGTTCTCAATGTGGGCTGTGTGAAAGGACAGAGGGGGGGCTGGGGCAGGAGAAGGTGATTTATATTTATCGGTTCCACTTTTAATAGTTCGGAATAGGTGAGAAGAGGACGATGGGCTCTGTGGGATGGGTACTATTATAATGGCAGTAAAAAGTGCAAGGAAAACTTTAACAAAGGCACTCTTGACATTTAATGAATCTATTATTCCTACAGTCGATCCTTTGGGGGGGAAATCTTTGATTAGGGATTTCTTTTTTTTAGGGATTTTTCCTTGTTTTTTTCCCCATCAAAATGACAGCTCTTCAGATCGTATTCGAACTGGAATTGGAACCCATTTGTGCTCAATCTCTGGCTGTTTTTTTTTCTGCAATCTCATCTGCTGATAAGGTGTTAACCAAATTGTGGTTTTGTGTGGACTTCAATCTTTGAAAAATATGTATAGAAAAATACATTTGTTCTTTCAAACCAAATGTTTCTCAAACTTTGTGGCCATAAAGACTGAAATTTCAAAATGGGTGTTCAGCCATTCTTCTGTGCACCAAAACCAACACCTGTGCTGCTAAAGAACAAGGCCAATAGACTCTCAAAAAGCCACAAAAGAACCCAGCCACCTTGACAGAGTGCTACGACCAATGTTGACCTATAACTGGAATATGCTTAATGCTTGTTCCTCTCTTTGTCGTTTTTTGCGTCGTTTATAACTCGATTAGGCAAATGGGTAAAATAAATTATGGAGAGAGGGAGAGGGAGAGTGGGAGAGGGAGAGACAAGGTCTTGACTGTTGCCTTCTGGCAGGGCACACGCAGAGTTCAGAGCACACACACACACATGCACTTTCCCGAATCTGTTAAACAGTCCACGCAATTTATGAATGATCGTCAAAGCTTACGGTTATTAACCCATACAAGTGCACAAACACAACTCTCTCGCACTCACACACACACACACAGAGGCACAGAGGCACCGACAGAGGCACAGCCTGTGGCGCGTGTGCTGAAAATGTTTGCAAACTTTTTTTTGGCAACTTTTTTTTTCGTATGTGGGGGTACACCCTGTAATTAGTTGGGGAGGAGGGTGTATCTGATACAGGGACATGTTGGTTAGAGGCAGTTTTTGGTTGGAAATAAAGGAATCTAAGAGCTAGAGCAGGAAAATAATTATCCATCCACTAAAAATAATTTTGATAAAATATTCATTGCATTTAAAAATTTTAATTATTTTTTTAAACGCATTTTCTTCTCCACTAATCAATATTTATAGCCATGATCTATTAGATTTGAGTGTTACTACCTAAAAGGCTGTCTAAGTGGAAGAAATATACAAATTTTTTAGTTGAGTTTTATTTATTACATTTTTTTTAAGAATTAAAATTTTTTCTTTGGGCAAACGCAGTTTATTTGTTTATTTATTTTCTTATTTCAGAAGTAATTTTATTTATTTATTACATAAATTCTTAGAGCTTTGAGTAGGGGCTAGAATACTATTGATTAGACCCTCGACTCTTTGAACCCTTGAAAATAGGGTATCTGCTAGTCGTTTCCCGCAACTAAAATACTTTTTTTTGCATTGCCTTTAACTCTTTCATTCTCTCTATCTCTGTCTCTGTGTTGGGTGCCTGGTGCCCGCTCATTTGTGATTTCCGTAAACGAAATCGATTAAATAATGAGTAAGAAGCGCAAAAAAAAAATCAATGCCGAAAGGAAAATAAATATTTAAATACTCAATTGCAAATGCAAAAATAAATAGCCAGCGGAAGAGAGCTGGAAAAATTTCTTAATTTTTTGCAAAAAGTTATTAAAGGCAAATAAATTGGTGGGGCTTTGGGTTTGGGTAGGAAGAGCCCCCTCTTAGAGCACGACTGCCGCCTTCTAATGTAGCACTTAACTAATTCAACAAAACTACGACGTACCCTCGACGGCAGACAACTCAATGAAATCAATAATAATAATAAAAAAAAAAATAATAAGCGAGGAGGAACAAAAAGTAGAATGAAAAACACACACAAAAGCATCATCATCATGAATGGGATGACGATGATAATGATAATGATGATAAGCGATGAACATGAACTACGCAGTTATGAAATCTAACTAGATGCTTGTGGGAAAAAGATACTCGCAAGAGCACGAACAAACCCCTCGAAAGAGCCCACAGTCTGCGATTGATGGATTAAAAGATAAAGAGTGAAATGGAATTAGCGAGAGATGGATAAATGGAAAAGTACATTGATGATAAAAAACGATGGATAAATGCATTGGAATGATGGATATATGGGAAGAAAGATGAGGAGGTGGATGTACGGGGATTGATAGATATTTGAAAGGTGGATCAAGGGATGGAAAGATGGAAATATAGATGGTTGTAGATGGATATTGCCAAATATAGGGAATTTATATAACAATAAATGCATAGGCATGAAAGAAACCCTGATATAAATAGGAAAACGGAAAAAGTAGATCTATCTTTTGAAATATAGCTAAGGGATGGGAATATTTAAAAATGTATTCCATAAGTAAGAATAAATTCTCATAATTTAGGGAAATTCCTCTCTTACTCGAAAATAAATATAAAATTTATTTCTACTACTATTTCTACTCCTTCTGCATCTTTGATGACTCACTCTTAGAGTGTTTTCCTCCTATTTGCCAGTTTGAAAATATGCCATTAAAACTGGGACACCCCTCACACCCTTTTAACCCATTTTCCTTCCCCTGGGTATTACGTATACGCCTCGTTGTGCCGGTGCAAATATTTATCTATATGTATCTACTATCTCTTGCCGCCATGTGCATTTAATTTGATAAGCAAATAATACAGAGAAAGATATTCAATTTGTTGCTAATGAAATTGAAATTGAATGCTAATTGTTCATACCGTTTTTCCTCTTCTATTTCCACAGGAATATCATTTCTAACATTTACTGCAATGTGCTAGTAAAACGAAGCCGAAGAAATTGAAGAAATTCCACGTGTAAACATCCAAAGCAGAAAATACAAAAGCCCACAGCAAATATTCCAATTAAAACGGGAAAAATGTACAGTGTGTGACAAAATTAAAGTGCAGCAGCAACTAAATAATAATTATAAATAATATAAATCGATAAAAAACTAAATTCTAAGTCCTTAACGTAAATAAAATACAACAATTTGTGGCGAAATTCCGAAAAAATCAGTGCAACAGCAACTACGCGAATACCCTCAATACGGAACAGCTGTGCTGTGCTCCTGTGCATGTGTGGGCGGCGGCGAGAGCGCGCGCGTGTGTGTGTGTGTAGGGTGTGCCAAACGTAAAGCGCTAGATGGCGCTCCAGACTATGCCATTCTCGTGGTCGGCCCAAGCCCTTGTCGTCGTTGTCGTTGTTGCTGTTGCTGCGCACAAAACGCGGTATGGTCTCCCCCCACTCTAGAAATATACAAAATTAAATCAATTTCAATCTATTTAATCTAACGCCAAAAGTGGGTAAGCGTGAGAGAGAGAGAGAGAGGGAGAGAAGAAAAGCGAAACAACAAAAGTGTCGCGTTTCAAAGTCGGATCGGTCGCGTTGCCGTCGTGTCGTGTCCGTGCGGTTCGGGTTCGGGCTCGGGTTCGGGTTCGGTTCGGGATCAGTTGACACTCGGTTGCAACCTGAGAGCGCTATGCATCGTCATCGTCGAAACACCTACGAAGCTGGCAACAATTTGGCGGGAGAACTCTTTAAACTGACAGCAAAACAAACAAACAATTAAATTTTAGCACAATTCCTAGTGCTTTTGACAACAACAAACAAACAAAAAAACAACATAAAAACCAACAACAACCAATAAACATTTATAGGGATTAATATAATCCTCATTAAGTATATTAAATAATTCTTTCGTGGCCCCAAATAATCCAAGAATCGATAGCAATCCTGGATTATTTGCTAAAGACTTTGCGGACGCTGAAATCCAATTCGATTATGGCCGAGAATCAAAGTGCGGCCAGCGAAGATTCCGGTCAACATCAAAAACAACAGCAACAACAGCAACCACTCAATCACTCAACCACAGCGGCAACAGCAGCCGCAAGCACCACAACAACAACCGCAGCAGCAGCAACACCAACAACAACAGCAGCAACAACTGCTGGCCAATCAATCAATCAATCGCCCACTAACTCCCAGGCCTCATCACCGGAGAACTCGCAGGAAGCGCTGCCCTCAACGGCCGGGATCCGGCGACACCACCACCAGCAGCAGCAATCCACAGTAGCCGCAGCAGCAGCCACGACCGTCGGCAACATGTTCGATCGCACGGTGAATGCAAAGTTCAAGCCGGGCACGGGCAACACGGGCTCCGGTAATAATCCACATGCCGGCCGCCGCAACTCCCTGATGTCGACCGCACGCGGTGTGACGGTGGGCGCCGGCGGTGGCAACATCCGTAAGCTGACGAAGGTCAATTCGCTGACCAGCAACCACCACTTCTCCGTCTGCTATCCACCCAACATAAACGCGCTGCCGGAGCGGTATCAGAACAGCAACAACTCGAACAACTCGTCGGCTGCCGCGGCCGCGCTGCAGCGCACCACCAGCGAGAGTCTGCGCTTGAATGCGCTCAATGCGCGTGCCGGGGCATCGTCGCGGGCCAGCAGCAACACCAGCCTGGCCTCCGCCACCACAACATCCACGTCGGTGGCGCCCAAGACGAGCAGCAGTAGCGGCAGCAGCTCCAGCAGCAACACACAGCAGCAGCAACAGTCGCAGGCGAGCAGCAGCAGCAACAAGGCCAGTTCCCCCAACAACAATGGGGCACGCTCAATGGCAGCAGCAGCATCGGCAGCAGGAACTGGAACTGGAGGGACTGGAGGTGCAGCTGCAACTGGCACAGCAGGTGGACATCATCATCATCAGCCACATCACCACCATCATCACCATCACCAGCATTCGCACCAGCATCATCAGCAACCGCAACACACTAGCCACAGTCAAGGACACTCATTAACCGTCGCCGGAGGAGGAGGAGCAGCGGGAGCAGGAGGAGGCGGCGGCGGCGGTGGTGGCGGCTCTTCGGCCCCGTCCACGGGCATCGCTGCTGTGGTGACGACCACACGCAAACCAAAGACGACTTCCTCATTCGAGATCACCTCGGTGACGGTGGGACATCCGAAGCTGAATGCGGCCGGTGATACCGGCGACGAGTCCGCGGACGATCTGGACGAATCTCACACGGATGACAACAGTCGGATAACGGATCTGGAGAACGAGACGCCTTCGATGTCGGAGGACACGTTCTCCAAGGAGGAGGTCTTCTATGCCAACAATGCTCTGAGCACCAACGCCCCGGTGATACCCACCAGCTCGCAGTACGGCCTTGTCGTGGTGGATCCCATCGGGCCGGCCTCCCTCGGCCAGACCATCCAGAATGTCCAGGTGAATGTCTCCACCGACAACAACATCATCAATGTGGTCAGCCACTCGGCGGTCACGCCCGGCGGCAGCAAGAAGAAGGAGGGCGGCGACGGCATCAAGGAGACGACACAGCATCGCAGCGAACGCTTCAAGGTGGTCAAAATCGAGTCCACGGAGCCCTTCAAGCGCGGCCGTTGGATGTGCATGGACTACCTGGATCACTCGAGTGTGGGCAACGGTGGGGCGGGCGGTGCTGGCGGTGGCAATAATAATGAAAAGACTGGCTCTTCTTCTTCCGAGGCCGTGGTGGCCGGCGGCGATGCAGCGGGCGGTGCAGGTGCCGCACCAGCAACGGGAGCCGATGGCTCGGCTGCCGCGCCCCAAAAGACAACACAGAGCATGATACTCCCGCCCACCCATGCGCTGATGGAGAATCACTTGGAGGGCAATTCGACGGACGCCAATTGGAACTATGCCGCGGAGCAGCAGCAATCGCAGTCGCAGCAGCAGCCGCAACACCACCAGCAACAGCAGCAACAGTCGTCGCACCAGCAGCAGCAGCAGTCCCAGCTAAATGCCACGCCCAGTGGGGTAATGACAGCCCCTGCCACAGTGGTGCATGGCATGCACCAGCTGCTGATGGAGGCGCAGCAGCAACAGCAGCAGCAGCAGAAACTCTTCGACAGCGTCAATGCCAATGCCAATGCCAATGCCAGTTCCCCCAATCCTAACCCCACGGTCGAGACGCCCATGGATTATGCCCAAGCGGCGGCCATGCAGCTGCAACAGACGCTGCAACAGCTCAAGCAGCGGGAGGAGGCGATGGATGTGCCGCCGGGCTTTCAGAACTACCAGCAGAATGGCGGCGATGCTGCAGCGGCAGCAGGCAACAATAACAACAGCAGCAGCAGCACGGCGGCCACAGTTGCAACAGCCAGCGAGCCACCACTGTCGCCTGCCCCGCAGACGCCACAGATCACGCCCACATTTGCGGCAGTGGCAGCCGCCGGTCAGGCGCAAGCCACGTCCCAGATCGATGGGATAGCCAGCAGCCAGCAGCAGTTCCCTCAGACAGCAGCAGCAGCACCACCCCCACAGCAGCAGCAGCAGCAGCAGCAAGTCCCACCTGCAACAGTTGCAGGGGCAGGGGCAGCGGCAGCAGCAGTTGCACCAACAGCCACCAGCACCCAACAGACTTCAAACACTTCCACAACAGCGGTAGCAGCAGCTGTGACCTTGCCGCTGTTATCACACATGACACACAGCTATGAGCAGCCAGCCACTGTCGGAGTGGCAGCCACCACGGTGGGAGCAGCCGCCGTTGCGGCAGCAGCAACAGCAACAGCGATTCCCACGCTGCAGCTGCAGAGTGCACCGGCCACCATAGTCGATCCGCAGCAATTGATTGTCCAGCAGCAGCAGCAGCAGCCGGAGGAGCAGCAGCAGCAGCAACCACAACAGATACCCCAAACAAATATCGCGAGTGTTAGTGCCAATAATAATAATAATAATAACAATACTAATAGTAATATAAATCTAACGAATCCAAATGTCGTCGTTGCCGTGGAGGCCACACCATCATCAGCATCGGTGGTGGTGCTGCCCTTGACGACCGATGACCAATCGACAACGGGAGCAGCAGCAGCAGCAGCGACAGCCACCACTGCAGCGGCAGGAGCAGCGGCAGGAGCAGGAGCAGGAGCAACAGCCACAGGAGGAGCCACCACATCGACATCAGCAGCCACACAGCAGCAGATCCAACAGCTACAGCAGCAACCAAATGCAGAATCCGAGACTGAAAGGTGAGTCAATATTTTCAGCCCATTTGGGGGGGGGGGGGGGGGGATATATTTCCCGGATTTTCCAAAGACTATACGGCAGGGGATTCTGCCTCTACATAGCACACGAAAACCACCCAAAGAAAGCCCCTGGAACAAAGTCCGAAATTCCTGGCTTTTCGCTCTACGAATTTCGTTTTTGGATTGGGTTTTTAGAATAAAATATGAAGAAAAATCAAACTTAAACAAAAAAGACCGAAATAAATAAATAATATAAAAAACATTTAATTAAAAAAAAAAAAATAAAATACAAAACTAAATAAAAAAATAAATTAATCTAATAAATTAAAACAAAAACAGGAAATTTAAATAATAACAAAAAATATAAATAAAAAATGATAAATAAATAATACAAAAATAATAATCACGAATAAAACTTTAAACAAAAATTATAAATAATTAAATAATAATAAATAAAAAAAATAATAAATAAATAAATAACAATAATAAATTTCCATTAAAAAAATCATAATAAATACAAATATCTGTGGTATTTTATTGTCGAACATTTCATTTATTCAACCTTTAATTACTCCCCAAATATTTCTACCAAAATTTTTCAATCGCTTTCCACTTGTAGTAAAAGTTTTCTCAATGAGAAAATCTACTTTGCACACAACGAATTTTCCACCTTATCTTATCGTCTGTTTGTTGGTTTTTTTTTTTGAAAATTCCATTCTTTCATTCACAAAAACTTTTGGCTCTTGGATTTCCATTTGTGGGCTTCTTATCGCTGATGTTTCTGTAGCATTAGGTTGATCAAATATTTACACGATAATGCAGAGACTTTGGCTCGTAATCAATTAGGAGTCGAAGACAAATCCACACGAAAGTTATTTATGGACAGAGCAAACGACGACTTTGCTTTGCATTTGGAACTATTTTTAGAGCCCGAAAGACGGCAGAGAAGCGTTGTTTGAACAAGTTTTGAGAAGGCGCCCCCTCGGCCCCACGTCTAGGGCTAGTTTTCAGGTTCATTGCGGACACCGTTAAAGTGCCAACACGCGCCTCCCTCTCTCTCGCTCTCTCTCTCGGCGTCGCGCCCCCCCCCCCCCCCCTTCTCCACAAGCAATTTTGCGAGTTGGGTTTTTGTTTGTTCGCGAATTTGCTGGAATTGCTTGCCTAGAAAGAGAGAGATGGCCACAGACCAAGAGAGTGAGAGAGAGAGAGAGAGACGGACCCTCCTCTAATAGAGGCTAAACCTCATTACAATAATTTATTTAATAAAAATTCATCAATGAAATTAGCCATGGAATGTGTTTTTTTGCACTGAAAGTGGTTCGCTTTTTCTGCGGTTGATGACGATGTGGGGGTGTGGTTGTGTGGGGGCGGTGGCTCGGCCCCACACAACAACACGTGCGTGACACAAAAGGTCGCTTTAATTAAGTTCGTTTTAAAGCGTACAAAAGTTCACTCAATTGTCAATGCACTGCCACAAAAAACACGGACTGGAAATTTAAGAATTTAAGAATTTGGTGAACCCACAAAAGATATTTTTGAATTTGATATTCTTGATTTTAAACTAGTTTTTTAGTTTTTAACTAATCTCTTATGCTTTTAGATTTATAGATTTTAAAACTGGTTTTAGATATATTTTGTTTGTTTTTCTATTTTTATTAACATTCCTGCTTTTATCGCTAATTTTACATATTTAAGAAAACAAATTCTTAATTTTTTTCCAACTATCTTTTTTTTAAATAGTTGTAAAATAAGCTTTAGAATGTTCCACTTTAATTTTCAATTGTTTTTATTTTTATTTTGAATTTCTGAAGTGTTCCAAACGCGTATTTTTTGTTTCTCAAAACTTCTTCTGAGGCCAAAATGTCGTACGAAAATCTTCTGAATTTTCTTCTGGAAGCTCATGGAATGACATCCGCCCCTCTTAAACTTCCCTTGGTCTGGGCCCTGGTCTTGAATTTGGTTATCTTTCTGGTAGTATCTTTCTAAAATGGCTATCAAGCAAAGTATATTCGATATTCTTAAATACTTCTACTTGTAATATTTCTACGTTTCGTAAATATTTCAAATATAGAAGTTTCACAGCTAAAATTGTCCAATAAATAAACACAGGGAAACGCCTATTTTCCTAAAAATTATTCCATTTAATTTTGATAAATCTTCCACTCATATTTACCACTACTTTCTTTACTAATACAAATTCCAACATTCATATTGTTATTAGAGTAATTTCGACTTTGGTTCATTGACAAATTTCGCGGCAGTGTTTTCTTTTTTCTTTCTTTTTTTTAATATATTTTTTATGGGTTCCCTCATTTGGTTGCTTTGGTGACTAATCTGTTTGCAATAGCAAAAGTTTTTGAAGCTGCTGACCATGACTCATTTCTCTGTGCTTACTAAAACGATTGATTAAACTAGAGAAATGCATAGGGAAAAAAGGGGGATATTCTTGTGCGATTTTTATTTATTGAGTAAATGCCAAAAAGATTTTGCAATACGGTGAGAGGGGAGACGACGAGAGACCAAAGTCAAGGCAAAGAAAAACATGTGTATCTGCCAGATACGGAGATACATGTGTGTACATATGGATATTCTGGGCAGATTGCGCATTTGCGTGTGACGAGAGGGGTGGGGCGGAGGACGAGTCATGGCACTCCCTTCTGCAGCAGTTCTTTCTTCTTCTCAATACAAATGCAAAATGCAACTGGAAAATGTAAGGATGGATGGATGGATGGAAGGAAGGACGGAAGGAAGGAAGGGAGGGGGGCAAACATTACATTGAATTATGTGGCTTGGGTATTAAAAATAGCCCCCGAACGAGAACAGGGATCAAAGAGGAGAAGTCTGACAATGCGTCGTATGAGTAATGCATCCCCCCGTATGTACTGCGGAGGGGAGAAGGCAGTGGTGTGGGACAAAGTTTTGCAGAAGGGGAAATTTTAATTTTTGCTCGCAGGTTTTGCTGATATTTTTATATATTGATTTTTCATTACTTTTGGATAGATATTTTTTGCTATATATTTTTTATATAATATTTTTTTAATTTAATTTGCTTTATCAATATTACTGCTTTTTATACTAATTTTAGATATTTAATTTTTTTTAAAATTATTTGTACAAAAAAACACAATTTATTGACTTAAAAAAATCCCAAAAATATGGTTTAAAAGAAAGCACGTCCTTTTTTCATTAGTTTTGGATATAAATATATTTTTTTGTATAATATATCGGTATTGTTCAACACTGTATTGATTAAGTGCACAAAGTGCGTGGATTACACTCGATAAATCGATTTCCGTCTTTAGCAGTAAGTCAATCTTAGCTGCGGGTCAATTAATTGTAAAATATTGACCCGTAAATGCGAACCCCCTCTGTGTGTGCGCGCCACTGCCTCGACATGTCTGTTCGTGTTCGTCTGGTCGACTTAGCAACAGCTTGAAATGTAAAATGTGAAAGACAAAACTGGCCTGGCCTCTGCACTTGACAACTTCCCCCGGGATCCGCAACGCCCAACCCCCAGCCAGCAGGCCATCTTCATTTTAAATTTATTTCTCCGACTGTCTCTCGCATTTCGCAGACAATTTGTCCATGGATTTCCTTTATTAGAGCCACTGATTGAATGCAGTGGGCCCAAGGGCGTCTCGCCCCAGCCCCAGCCCCAGCCCAGGCCCTAGCCATGCCACCACTCCCTATACGTGTGCCCTGTCCAGCGGTCCGTCCACTTACGTCATGTCTCCTCTTGAGCTCTGGACAATAATGTAAGTGGTCGGCTGGTCGACTGGTCGGTTGATGTAAGGCAGAACTGGTTTCAGCCCTGTCTAATGAAAAGGAAAGTCTTTGGCGTGGGTTGTGGCAAGCACAATGCAGCCAAGTGCAGCAATTGTGGATCGGTTTACTCTGCATAAAAAGAAGAAATACATATTGTATGCATAGTATATGTTTTCTTTGATTCAAATTGAATCACAATAAACAAGGGAGCAAATGCAATGAAACTGGTTTCAATTGAATAATCAACTATTTATATTCGCAGCGATAAAAACTATTACACATACTGTACTATATGTATATTTTATTGCATTTGTTTCTATTATAGGATTATAAATTCTATAAGCAGAATTAAATCATAATCGGCTTATAAGTAAAGCGATAAAAACTATTACACATATAGAATATTCTATTTCCATTTGTTTCTATCGTATTATATTATTATACATTTTATAAATAGAATTCTATGGTTGAATGCGGTGATACCATGGAATCAAAATCAAAGAATTTTTATTGCTGGAATTCCTAGAATTTTTTGCCAACCATATGGAATATAAATTTTGTTGCCAATTGCGAAAAACATATTGCGATATTCAAATAACTTTCATGACAACAGAATACAATTCATTAACTTCTTGTGTGCTGTCTGCCCCTGGCCCATGTGGGCCCATGGCTGGTCAAATGTAGTCATCAGCCATGAGCTGAGCTCATTCTCGGTTTGTCGGAATGAAAGAACAGAGAAAACTAATTTCACATCGTCCAAGCCGTCAATTAGTTGAACAGACGTAATCAGAATACACACTATATATGCTATATAAAGGGAAAGGTCTCTTAGCAGGCAGCTCGATGGACATTTGTACCACACTCTCGATTTTTATAACGCCTTGTGACCTTCATTAGTATTCACACGTATTTTGGGATGGTTATATTTCTACATTTCGTTCTATTAAATATATATTAAGACGAAGGAGTCGTCTAGCTACTTTTAGAAATTCCCAAAAATTGCCATACATCCTCTACAAACCACAATGTTATAGCTTTTTCCATTAGCATTTCCATATCGTTGGAACAAATGATGAATTACTGAAATATATCAGAAAGTAGTCTGAAATTTCTTCACCAAAAAATTCTATAAAATGGCATTCTAATAAATACTAGAAAATACCAGAAAATACCACAAAATACTAAAAAATACTAAAAAAAATACTAGAAAATACCGTATTTTACCAATGTAAACAGAG